CTAACCCTAACCTGATCCCTAACCTTAACCCTAACCCTAAACTAGCCCTACCTCTAACCTTAAACCTAAACCTAACCCTAACCTTAACTTTAACCCTAATACTAACCCTAGCCCTAGCCCTAGCACTAAACCCTAACCCTACCCAAACCCTAACCCTAACCCTAACCCTACCCAAACCCAAACCCTAACCCTAACCCTAACCCTACCCTATCCCTAACCCTAACCCTAACCCTAACCCTAACCCTACCCAAACCCAAACCCTAACCCTAACCCTAACCCTAACCCTAACCCTAACCCTACCCAAACCCAAACCCTAACCCTAACCCTAACCCTATCCCTAACCCTAACCCTAACCCTAACCCTACCCAAACCCAAACCCTAACCCTAGCCCTGACCCTAACCCACCTGCATTGGGGGAGTGGAGGGGCGGTACAGGGGCCTGGGCTCCCCTGAGGCTCTGGAGATGCTCTGCTCCCTCGTTGGGTCTGGGGCCTGGCCCTCCGCCCCCCGAGCTCCTGGCCTCACAGGGGCCTCGCACGCTGTGCCCACAGGGTACTGTGAGGCTGTCTGTGGTATGGCCTGGGCACCTCCCCCGGCCAGGAGCTCTGCTGGGACTGGCTGCCCCTGCAACCCACCCGGACCCTGGGCCCCCCTGGGCAGCCCTGAGGGGACCGTTCCCAGCCCCTGTGAGATCAGGGCCACCACCCTCCCTGACCCTGACCCTGACCCCACCAGCTCTGTGGCCTCTGTGCTGTGGGGCAGGGCTGGTGTGGGGTGAACTGCCCAGAGCTGGGAGGCCAGCTGTGCAGGTGAGTGTGGGCAGGGCAGGAAGCGTGGCCTGCGGTGCGGAGCAGCCTGGGGGGCAGGGCCTCTGTGGAAACGGACAGGGAGGATACCCGACTGGGCCCGGGTCTCAGCACCCCAGGACCAGACGGGGTCTGGGGATAGAACTGGTCGTGAGGCTGCGGCAGCACTGAGCCTTGTAGGCTGGGCCTGCCCCATGGAGGCATCAGGGAGGCACGCGGGTGGGGTCCTGCCAGCTGCTCACTTCTCCCTGTTGCAGCCTTTTACGTAATAACAGATCCAGCGGGAGGATGGCCAGGCAGCGGGCGGTGCCAGGACTGTTACTCAGCTTGTTAAATTATTAAATTGGCATTGGAAGCTTCTGGGGAGTCCCAGGTGTGCCAGGAGCCCCTCCTAGCCCCCCCTCAGGGTCTGCACCCCTTTCCCGCCCCCAGGCAGCAGGGTGCCCTGGGGGACAGGAACGCCAGGGAACAGAGAGCTGGCACCAGATGGCCTTCATGGAGGGAGCCGAGGGGTGCCCAGCAGGGGCTTCCAGAGAGGCGGGTGGGAGCTGGAGCAGGAGGGCGGTGGCTGCCTCTGCCTCCAGAGTGACTGTGGGGGGACAGAGGGGACCTGTGGATGGTGGGGGTCCCACACAAGCACCAGGTCTCCTTCAGTCCTGCTTGGGGCCGGGGCTGCCGGCCGGTTTCTGGGGGGCAGTGCTCTGAAGAGCTATTGGGGCGCTGAGCAGACCTCCTGGTGGGACACCTCCCCTCACCCAGCTGCCTGCCATATCCCTCCCCACCCACGTCCGTCCACCCCCCCACCCACCTCCGTCCACCTCCCACCCACCTCCGTCCACCTCCCCACCCACTTCCGTCCACATCCCCACACCCCACCTCCGTCCACATCCCACACCCACCTCCGTCCACATCCCCACACCACCTCCGTCCACCTCCACACCCACCTCCGTCCACCTCCACACCCCACCTCCGTCCACCCCCACACCCCACCTCCGTCCACCTCCCCACACCACCTCCGTCCACCTCCCCACCCACCTCCGTCCACCTCCCCACCCACCTCCCCACCCACCTCCGTCCACCTCCCCACACCACCTCCGTCCACCTCCCCACCCACCTCCGTCCACCTCCACACCCCACCTCCGTCCACCTCCACACCCCACCTCCGTCCACCCCCACACCCCACCTCCGTCCACCCCCACACCCCACCTCCGTCCACCTCCCCACACCACCTCCGTCCACCTCCCCACCCACCTCCGTCCACCTCCACACCCACCTCCGTCCACCTCCACACCCCACCTCCGTCCACCCCCACACCCCACCTCCGTCCACCTCCCCACACCTCCGTCCACCTCCCCACCCCACCTCCGTCCACCTCCCCACCCCACCTCCATCCACCCCCCGACCCCCCCTCCTCCAGGCCCAATACCATCAGGACAGAGGCCACCCCCAGGTGCCTGATGAGCCCCCCTGGGGCTTCAGCCGCCTCAGCCCACCTTTCTCGCTGGTACAAATTCCCACTAAGCTCCCACGGTCTCGCTCGGCTGGCTGTGAGCCTGGGTCTGTCACCAGCACCAGGTCCTTGTCCTGGCACTTGCAGGACGCCAAGTCCTACTGGGTGTGGCCTGAGGCCATCGCTGGGCACCCAGGTGTTGTGTCCTCCCTCCTGCCAAGCTGCACTGCGCCCTCCAGCCCTCACGCTCCCCACTGCCGGTGCCCGCACCCGCGCGCCTTTCTCCTCCCAAGCGCCCATCACTCTGACCCTCCTGTCAGCAACCTGGTCTGTCTCCCCTGCTCGGCCGGCAGACATGAATTGAGGGGCCGCTGTGTGTGGCGAGGGGAAGACAGGTAACCAGAGAGAGACAGAGACGGGAGGGAGAAACCATGAGAGAGAGGGAGGTGGTGACCCCACGGCTGACCTCTGATAGGGACCCCCCAGGGAGGGAGAGGGCTGGAGACAGACTGGAGGGTCAGCAGCGTCCAGGAGCCAGCAGAGGCCTCTGGCCTCCGTGCCCGAGCCTGTCCCGGCCAGTGAGCCCCTGGCTCAGGGTGTGGGTGCACTTGGGGTGCAGACTCCAGCACTGGGGCTGGGCCCTGCCCTGTCTGCTCTGACGGCCTGCACTTCCCGGGCCTGGAGGCCGCACCCGCCCAACCTGGCGCCTTTAGGTCAGGGGCTTGTGGGATCCTCTGGGGGATTGCCCGCAGGATGTCCGCTGTGGGTCATCCCATCGGGGGGCAAGGACTCTGAGCTGGGGATCCTCAGACTCTGGAAACGGGTGGCCCCTCCACAGCTCCTGTCCCCAGACCTGCACAAGGCTGACCTTTGACCCACCTCATAAGCTCAGTGGTTCTCAACCTTCCTAATGCCGCGACCCTTTAATACAGTTCCTCACGTTGTGGTGATCCCCAACCATAAAGTTATTTTCGTTGTTACTTCCTAACTGTAACTTTGCTACTGTTAGGAATCGTAACGTAAATATCTGATATGCAGGATGTATTTTCATTGTTACACATTGAACATAATTAAAGCATAGTGATTGATCACAAAAACAATATGTAATTATATATGTGCTTTCCGATGGTCTCAGGCGACCCCTGTGAAAGGGTCGTTCAACCCCAAAGGGGTCACGACCCACAGGTTGAGAACCGCAGCCCTAACTGGTTTGGCTCAGTGGATGGAGCATCGGCCTGTGGACTGAAAGGTCCCAGGTTCGGTTCTGGTCAAGGGCACGTATCTTGGTTGTGGGCACATCCCCAGTGGGAGGTGTGCAGGAGGCGGCTGATCGATGTTTCTCTCTCACCGATGTTTCTAACTCTATAAAAAAATCAATAATAATTAAAAAAAGAGATGAAGCAGCCCGGCCAGCGTGGCTCAGTGGTTGGCGTCGATCTATGAACCCGGAGGTCACAGTTCGATTCCGGGTCAGGGCACAGCCTGGTCCCGGTTGCGGCTCCAGCCCCAGCGCGGGGCATGCAGGAGGCCGCCCATCAGGGATTCTCCTCGCTGATGCTTCTCTCTCTCCTCCCCCTCCTCTCTCTCCAAAACCAATAAACAATATATTTAAAAAGAAAAACAAAAAGCAGAGACGTGCTCCTCCCGTTCCTGGGGGTCTGAGGTCCCGCGGGAGTCCCCTGTCCTACCCACCCGCCCTCCTCGCTGGCCCAGGCCGCCCGGGCCGGAAGGTCCGAGAGGCAGGAGCTGGGCCGAGGGGCCAGTGGACTGGGACCAGGCCGGTCCTCCCGAGCTCGGGCTGAGGTCCAGGCAGCGGCTGGAAGGGCGGGAGGAGCGGCCGCCCCTCCGTGGGGCAGGGGCAGGGGCAGGGGCAGGGGCAGGGGCAGCCCCAGGATCCACCGCTTCCATCGCCACCCGCGGCTCCCCGTGACTCAGCCCCGCGGGGCCGGTGACCAGTGGCTGCTGCGGCCGCCAGGGTGTCCACCGCCAAGGCAGCCGCGGACCCCGCAGGCCTCTCCCCGCACGAGGCCGCGCAGGACCCGGGACGGGCGGGGGCAGGAGGCGGAGCTGCGACCTTGCAGCGACCGCCAAGCGCGGCCCGCAGTGCAGCTCCGCGGAGGCAGCTCCCGGGCGGGGAGGCGGCGGCGGGCGGGGCTGGCACGGACCGCGGGGCGGGGCCCGGGGCGCAGGGCCCCCTCCCCCCTCCCCCCTCCCCCCGCCCCGCTCCCCACCGCGGGCCCCGACCGTCCGCGGACCCGGCTCCTCGGTCACTTTCATGGAAAAATAGGCCGGGCGTCTGCGGGTCTCTCTCCGCCGGGGGAGGGGTCAGAAGTCTGGGGGCCCCCCTCCCGCCCAGAGGCCGCCCGAGAGCGGGGGTCGGGGTCACTCGGGTTCGGGACCACCTACCCCCCCCCGGGAACCCCCTCCCGTGGCGGAGCGATTGGGGAGGGGGCGCCCACACCCCCGGCCCCCCCTCTCCAGCCCCAGGAGGGACTTTCCCTTCAGGTTTGAGGGTGTCGGTCCCGCAACCGCTCACGAAGGACCCGGCGAGGGGAGGGCGGCCCACTGGGTCCACACCGCGCGACGCGGGGGGCGCGGTGCCTAGGACTGGGGGCCGGGCGGGCGCCAAGGGCTGGAACCCCGAACCCGGCGCGGGGCGGGCTCTGGAAGGAGATGGGGGCGCGGCTCCGCAGCCCCCGCCCCGCCCCCCGCGCCCCGCGCCCCGCCCTCCCCGTCACGCTCGGGGGGCGGGGAGCCTCCGTGTGACGCGCCTCCTCGCGGTGCCCTTCAGCCGCCGCCGCAGTTCCTGGGGCGCCACATGGACCCGGTCGGCCCGAGCGCGCCCCGCCGCTGACGCCCGCCGCCCGCACCCCGGTCGGGAAGGTAAACGGCCCCGCGCGCAGCCCCCTTCGACCCGGCCCGGCCCCGGCCCCGGCCCCGGCCCCGCTGGGCACGCGCTCGGCGGGCGGGCGCTGTCCACCCGCGCGGTGCTGAAGCGGCCCGCGTCCCGGCGGCGCCCTCCCTCTCGGCTCCTTCCCCGGCTCGGTCCCTGCCCTGTCCCCCTTGCCCTGTCCCCCCTGCCCTGTCCTCTGTCTCCTTCCCTCCCCTGGCGCCCCCCCGCCCCGGGGCCGCTCCGCAGAGCCGGGCAGCTCGCCCTCCGTCCGCCAAGCCGAGGGGGACGCTGCCCACAGCAGAGCCCAGAGGGATGACGAGGGGAGCCGGGCACGCGCCCTGGGGGAGCCCAGCAGCGCCCCGACCTCTGCGGCAGGCCCTGCGGTCCCCGCTCCCCGGGAGCCAGGGGAGAAGTTTGGAAGCGAATCTGCTTTGCGGCAAATGCGCCCTGCGCGCCAGCACTTTGCGAGGGGGGGCACCCCGCCCCCCTGCCCAGCGCCCGGCGGGTCTCCTGCAGAGGAAGGGGGGGCGCAGGAAGCAGCGGCTCTACAGGGACCCCCCTTCACGGCAGATCTCACTGGGAGCCTGGACCCAGGGGCCCCCCATGCAGAGGCAGGCCCCCTCCTGGCTCTCCCACCCCCTCCTTGTGGTGGGCCCGTGGCTGTGGGTACGAGGTCTCCCCTGGATGGAGCCAGGCCTCCCAACACCTCTACCAGTAGCCACAGGCCCTCCCCGAGGGCACCCACTCGGGCCCCACCCCCCACCCTGATTCTTGGGTGGACCCTGTCCCCCTCCCCTGGCCGGGCCCACCGGGACGCAGCAGCCAGTCACCTTCAAATGCCCTGTGCCTGCCCCTGCTTCCTGCAGGCCGACTCCTCTGAGCTGTGCCTCTCACCAAGACTGAGCACCCCATTCCTCGCCAGGAACCTCAGGGGCCCTGAGACCACTTTGCAGACCCAGCGGGGGTCCTGAGACCTGCTGCCCTGGCCAGGGTGTCGGGGGCGGGGGAGCCCCTCCACAGGGACCTGGCCAGGGTCCAGGGAACGAGGCTCTCCCAGACCCCAGCCCCGTCTCCATGGGTCCTCAGCCTGCGTCCAGGCGCCGTCTGGGGGGGCGTGGGGGGGAGGGGAGGAGGGACGAAGAGGAAGCCCGCAGGTGGGCTGGCAGCCTGTGACCGGCTCCTCTCTTCCAGGCCCAGGACTCGGCGGCCACACTTGATTGTGAGTTGGGACCCTCTGAGCTGCCGCTGAGGAATCAAAGCTGGTGCCATGGAGTTCGTGATGAAACAGGCCCTGGGAGGTAGGAAGGGGGAGGGGGTTACGGTGCACCCAGCAGGTGGCAGGCCTCACACTCGGCGGCCAGGGTGCTGCAGGGGTCAAGGCTGAGCAAGCAGTAGCGCCCCCTTGGGCGTGGGGACACCCCAGGGAGGGATTCAGGGGCACAAGGGACAATTCCCCTGCAGGGTGGGTGGCCCTCGGGGAGCAGGGCCACAGCAGCTGGGCCTGGGGTGGGGGCAGCAGGCGACATAGGGGACGGGGCTGGCTGAGCACAACCAGGGATGTGTCCCAGACAGCGGTGAGCCGGCCCCTCCATGAGGCAGTGCGACCTCCTGTGTTTGGGGGAGGGGACACCCTCAACCTGCTGACCCCCATGTGAAGGGCATCCTGTGCCTACTGGGCTCCAGGCATCCTCATGGCCGGAGACCCGGCCCCAGAGGTGGGTGAAGAGCGGGGCACAGTCCACACGGACACAGAGCAGGGGTGCTCTGGTCAGCCAGGCGGGGGCCTTCCCGTGCTCCTGCCCCGTCTCCCGTGATGGGAGCCTGGGCCCAGCTCTGGTGGCCGTGACAGACGCTGCTTGGACATCGTCCTTGGCCCCACCCTGGCCTGATGCCGTCCACTGCGTGGCATTGGGTGCTGCTGCTGTATCAGGGGGTCGGGAGCTTGGCCGGAGGTGGGCACTGTCAGGGACCGGGAACTGCATGGAGGGGCCGGTGCCCCTGCCCACAGGACGGGCTCACAAGTGGCTTGTCTCTTAGAGAAATGACATGAGCAGACATCGGGCCTGGCCCCCATGGTCAAGGATAGACAGGCTTCAGGTTGCGTCTAATTATAATGATTACGTCACCGGGATGGGATTCAGGGCCGGCAGCCTCCTGGCACTGGGAGGCCCGAGTTCCACCCTGCACCGCAGGCTGTTACAGATAATTAATTAGGCGCTAATTCAGGCCCTGAGGTGGGCTCGCAGGAAAACCAAGGCTCTGATTTGGCTGTCGACAGGGCTGCAATTAGCTGGGTGCCTGCCAGCCGAACGCCCTCTGTGTGGTGTCACCCAGAGTTTCCCTCGAGGCGGCAACGGGGTGCCCCTGAGGGTGTGGGAGCTGTGGAGGGGGTGGCGCTGGGTGTTCTGGCTGCCCAGTGCTCCCAGACATTCGGAAGTTGCTGTCCTGGCGCTGCGGGTGGGGCTGCGCTGGCCTCTGGGTGAGACTGGATTTCTGTCTGTTTCCCGTCCCGGGGCCCGGGTGACAACGAAACAGACAGAGGGACAGAGACAGACAGAGACCAGGAATATTCCGAGGGGGACAGACCGGAGCCCCAGACAGAGGAACCTGCAGGAAAAACCCGGAAACGGTCGAGAGGAGGTGAACCCAGAGAAGCAGCGACGGGGATGGAGCCAGAGAGAGGAGATACAGAGCAGAAACTGGAGAGAGAGAGAGAGAGAGAGAGAGAGAGAGAGAGAGGGAGAGAGAGAGAGAGAGAGAGGTGCCCCAGGACTTGCGAGACGAGATGTAGGGAGACAGACGACAGACGCAGGAGTCAGAGACAACAGCGAGGCTGCTGGAAGCCAGGCAGGGGCGCCAGCGTCAGTCGGTGGCTCAGGTGGCTCAGAGCCAAGAAGAGCCGAGAAGCGCCTCGAGGGAGAGACGGCACCTGGACGCAGGCTGAGGACCCACGGGGTGGGGCGGGGGCCGGGGTGTGAGAGCAGAGAGGGGCTGAGAGAGGGACACAGGGAGGGACAGAGACAGACAGACAGGTGTCTCTGAAACAGGAGTGGAGGCGGGCAGAGACCCAGACAGCCCCACCGGCAGCCCCGCAGCAGGAGGGGCAGGACGCCCTGCGGCCGAGTTAGGTGCTGGCCCCCTGAGGCTGTGCCCAGCTCACCACGTCCTCCGCTCAGGACACACTCCCAGCGCCTCCTCCCCTGCCCTGACCCCGTGTCTCAGGCAGAGCCTCTGCTGGGACAGAGCTGCCAGGTGACCGCCTGGTGGGGAGCCTGCAGGGGACGGGCAGGCGGAGTGACTGCGGCCCCCAGTGCATGGCCGGTTCTGCTGGGCCCGGCACGAGGCAGGTGCCCTGGTCTGTGGTGCCTCACACCTCTGGCACCTCTGGCACCTCTGGCACGGCCCTGGGCGGGAGCAGAGGGAGCCAGATGCCAGCACACTGTCTGGGCCTGTCCCACCCCAGCAGGGCCAGCAGCACGGACCCGTGGCCTCGTGCGGACTCCTGGCGCTGTTTCTCTAAGGATAGGGGGGCAGCTGTGGCCAGGAAGGAAGGGACAGGGGGCGCCCAGGGCTGCTTCCCCTGAGATGGCAGGGTCGGCCCAGACACACCAGCCTCGGGCCCCTGGAGTGGATGTGGGGGGCACACACGGTGTCTCCAGGCACAGCCAGAGGGTGACTGACAGGCCTGTGGGGGCATCTGCTCTTGGGGCCTGACCAGGGCTCCCTGGTTCCCTCAACTCAGGAGACGTGACCCCAGGCACAGCCGCTGGGCCTGCCCGAGGCCAGGGCACCTTGAGGGGACAGAGAACTCTGGGGCCAAATCATTAAGGAAGGCTCCCTCCTCGAGGCAAACCTCCCGCCACCCCAAGGCGCCTTAGACAAACGCAGATTCACATCAGCCCAGGCTCAGGCCTGAGAAGGGAGCAGGTGCCCCCTGGGCCCGGGCCTGGGCCTCCAGCTGTGCTGGAGGAGCTGTTTCCCCCAAGGGCAGGAAGTGGGTTACTACGTTTACCCCTGGGCAGAGCGTGGCCTTCAGGTTAGCTGGCCGGCAGACACTCCTCAGGCCCAAGCAGGCCAAGTGGCTAATTTGGCCCCAAAGCCCCGATTCAGGTCGTCTGTGCCGCCATCCCGCCTCAGGGCGACACGTCTGTGTCCAGTTCATGCCCAAGCCCTTGGGGCCTGTGGGGGGCGGGGGCCAGGCCAGGCTTCATGGAGGAGGGGACGTCGGAGCTGGGCTCAGGGGCCCCGGCTGGCCGAGCCGACGTAGCTGGAGATCCAAGGGGAACTTTGCAGGACCCTGGGCACGTCTGGGGGCTCCCAGCGGCTGGTCAGTGTGGACCGGGTCCTGCAGGGCGTGGGCCCCCTGGAGGCTTAGGCTGTTCTGTTTTGGGAGGAGGAGGCACTGGGGTTTGTGGGGCTTGAGGGGGGAGTGGACGGCGGCGCCCCGGGGGGCTGCTGTGGCGCTGGGCACTGCTCCCAGCCCTCCGTGGGCCGAGGAGAAGCACTTTGTGGGCACAGCGCCAGGGAGGGCCTCGGGGCTCTGTGGGGTGGGCCGTTCGCTCTTGGCCAGGTCGCCCAGGGGTTCCGTGTCCAGACCATGACAGCCCTAGAGAAGGGAGGCCGTGCCCACCTAGGGGCTCCCACAGGTCGGAGGCGCTGGGTGGGGAAGGGCAGGGGGTGGTCAGAAGGGGCTTCTGTTGGCCAGACCCTCGGGGAGGGAGCCACCCAGCCATTGCTCGCTTGGCTGTCTTGGGGGCCAGGAGGTGCGGGAGGGGGGTCAGAGGGTCAGGTCCCCCTCCCGGCCAGTGAAGGGTGGTGAGTGAGTGGCAGAGAGAGAGGCTGAATGGAGGGACAGGCGACGGGATTATTCCTGCCCCTGAAGCCGGCCGTGCCATCTGCCGGAGCTTGGCTCTGTCTGGCTCACTAATTGGCGTCTTCATCTGGCCTCTGTCTCCACGTGTCCTCGCCTCAAAGCCAAGACCAGACGCTCTGCTCTGAGTGCGGAAGGGGCCAGGCAGGCAGGGCCTCTGAGGTCAGGGAGGCCGAGGGAGGGGCCGTTCCCAACAGGGGAATCCCAGGCAGCTCACAAAGGTTTGCGACCACAAAAGGGCTTGGTGGGGAGAGAAGGGTGTTTCCCAGTGGTGAGGGCGGCAGAAGCACCGCAGGAGATTAGGGACGTGCATCTGGTGTGGGCTGGGCTGTGGCAGGCCAGGAGCAGCGACCCTGGACCTTCCGACCTTTCGTCAGGTCACCTTCAGGAGGCGGGGCCCTGGGGGCCCCCCACAGGCAGGAGGGATGGGCTCACCTGTGCTGGCAAGGATGGAGAAAGCAGCTTTCATTTAACCAGGTTGCCCTTGCTGGTTGGCCTGACCTTGGCCAGCAGGAATCGGGCGGATGAGCAAGTCGGAAGCTGGGCTGTGCTTCTCCTGGGAACCTGGTTTGTCCCCTGACCCTGGGTGGCCGCTCCTGTTGCAGGGCCCTGGGTGCACGCCCTGCGGGGGGTGGGAGGGGGGGGTCTGGTGAAGGGACTTGGCTTCAGGGATCACACCTGACCCTCCTGACCTCGTCCCTAAAATGCTCCCTGAGTTTGTGCTGTCCCGTGGCTGAGGGCTCTCTCACACCTCTGCTTCCGAGCAGCCGTGCCCTTTGAAACATCGCTTCAGCTCGAATCGGCAGGGTTGAGGCCACAGCCGCGTATTCGGGCCGGCCCTTGCCTTCCCGGGGCTCTGCCCGCACGCGCCCCCCCCTTCCGGCTCGCGGCTCAGATCCAGAGGACTGTTCCTAATACAGAAAAAGTGTTTTGATCTTTGCATTCAGTTTTATTAGAGACATTTGCACACGGTTATTTTTTTAACATGAGAGTGAATTTTCCCGTCATTAAAATAGTGATGACGAATGTTCAGCCCTGGCCGGTGTGCTCAGTGGGTAGAGCCTCAGCCTGCGAACTGAAGGGCCCGGTTTGATTCTGGTCGGGGCACATGCCCGGTTGCAGGCTCCATCCCTCGTGGGGGGCGCGCCGGAGGCAGCCCACCAGTGATTCTCTCTCATCGTGGATGTTTCTCTCCCTTCCTCTCTGCAATCAATAAAATAGTAACTGTTCATTGCAGGGAATTGAAATGCTAAAGAAAGTGTAAACGCGCCGTCCTGGTCATGCCTGGTCACGCCTGGTCACGCCTGGTCACGCCTGGCTTTATGTGTTGTAGGCAGTTTTACAGATGCTCCCCCATTCCCCCTGCGCCTCCCCCAGGCTGTCACCACTCCATTGTCTGGGGCCCCGTCTCTCCTCCTGCCGGATCCT